GGGAGGGGGAACTCCGCGGGCTGAGGGGGATGGGAGAGAGGAATGGGTAGAAGGGGAGAAAAGAATTTGCGGAGGGGCGGTAAGGAGAAGAAGGCAGGTCACCGGAATGGGGAGCAAGCCCCGCGAGCCCCAGTTTATTGAATGGAGGAATGGAGGAGGGCCCACCCTGTCCCCTCTCTGACTCTCTCGCTCTGAGCCCCCCCCCTTTCCAAGCCCCTGGATTTATGCACCCCCACACCTTTTCAGAGCCCCGCCATTCTCAATTCTAGGCCTCCCGGATCCAACCACCTTCCACTTCTTCCACTCAGTCGTGTCCTGCACCCCACCCCACCCCAGTCTGCCCCTCTTGGACTTGGTCCCTCTTGAGGGGACTTTGCAGTAGGGGTTCTGTGTGCCTCAAGGGTGGGAGGTGGCACACAGTGCTTCCTGGTCTCTCTGGGCCTCAGTTTCCCTGTCCATCCCAGGGCCAGGCTTTCTGGGGGCTGGAGAATCCCGCAGCCCCAGGGGCAAGGGCTGACCCAGCCTCTGCCCCTGTTCATGGGCCAGGTCAGCCTTGGGGGTCAGCAGGAAGCTGGTGAGACCAGCCCGCAGCACATCCCCAGCCAGAAAGGAGTACGCTCTCCAAATATGAGTCGTTGTCCCCCCTCCAAAAAACAAAACAAAACAAAAAACCACAACACTTCACTGCTATTGAAGCGATTCCGGCTCATAGCCACCCTCCGGCACAGAATAAAACTGGGTTCCCACCACTTTTAAATCTTTGTTTAGTAAACTTGTGTTAACAAAAGCCCAAACTCACTGCCATTGAGGTGATGCTGACTCATGGTGACCCCATAGGGCAGGGCAGAACTGCCCCCTCCCCCCAGGGGGGTTCCCAAGGCTGTAACTCTTCATCTTTTGGAGAAGAAAGCCTCATCCTTCCAGGCAGCAGGTGATCTTAAGAGTTACCAGCCCAGCCAACCCGTAGCTCACTAGGCTGCCAGGGCTCCTGAGGGAGCGGACAGGGGCTTCTTTCACTGGAAGAACAGTGGGTGGGTTTGAACTGCTGTCCTTGCTGGCCACCGGGGCTCCCAGAGTGAAGCCCGTCATTGCCGAGTCACCTCCGATTCATGGTGAGCCCAAGTGTGCCGCCAGCAGAACTGTACTCCAGCAGCCAGGCTTTTCCGGAAATTGATTGCATCTCTGGGTGGGCTGGCTTCTTCAGCCTTCTGGGGGGCAGCCAGGTGTGCGGAGGCTGCGGACTGAGGGTGACCCATTAAGCATCACACAGGCAGGCTCCTTCATTGACCTGGTGCCTTCTGACCCCAAAGATTTACTCTCTTACTTGGGCTTTCCCTTCTGGTGTTCATACTGTAACGCAATCTTGGGGTGTCGGGAATGGTGGAATTGCCACCCGCTCTTGGACAGAGTCGGACTGCGCCATGGGGTTTCCAGGCAGCCGTAAATCTTTCTCCCGCAGAGTGGTTGGCCAATTCTAATGCCACCAACCTATGGGTTAGTCGGCGAGGGCCACAAGGGATCCTTAAAATCAATCCCACTGCCATCAAGCCAATTCCGACTCACAGTGAGGCTACCGGACAGACTGCGAGGAGTTTCAGGGACTAAATCTTTATAGGAGCAGATAGCCTCACTTTTCTCTCAAGAAGTGGCTGGTGGGTTTGAACCAGCAACCTTGAGCCACTTAATTCTCCTATGTCACCAGGGCTTTCTAGACCAAACCATATCCACTGTCACCAAGTCAATTCTGACTTACAGAGACTTACAGAGACAGCCTCATCTTACCCTCCTCTCGGGAATCTTGAAACACCAGTCACCTGGTTAACAATCTAATGCCTATGCCCCCCACTACCACACCTCCATCACCCCCTGCTGTTAAGTCCATCCTGACTCCCAGTGACCCTGTAGGAAGGAAACTGGACAGGATAGAACTGCCCCCTGTGCATTCCCAAGACTATCAAGGGAGCCTCTTCTTCCTACCTCCGAGCAAACAGCGGACTTGGTTGG